GCAGATCTGAGCATCTCACCTGAGAAAATTCCCATTGACAATTTCAGATGTGGAAACTGAGGCACAGTGAAGTGAAATCATTTACCCAAAGTTAACAAATTTTCCAGGGTCAGGACCCAAAACCCAGTCATATCACTGCAAATCCCATGTTTTTTTCATCATACAATACTACCTAATGATTACTAAGCTCTTTACTTCTGAAACTGCAAAACTTTTAAGGACCTATTTGTGAAAAAACAAACAAAAAAGAAATGTGGTTTGAGCTTGCTGTTGAAGAGGAACGGTTCCCTAAAGGCAGGCAGTACATAGACTTCACCAAACACTAACTTCATGGGACGTGACTTGCTCAACTCTGGACAACACATGTTAATAGACCCAAAATGAGGCAAGACATAGGCATCGCCCATGAAAGGAACGTAGTCTATAGGACAGCAGCAGTCCTTTCCACCTAGCATGTTTCTTGAAGGCCTTGTGTGACACATGACATCCTATGCTCAGCTGGTGAATCATGTGATTCACCTCTTTGCCTGGGGGCCATATATTCTTCCCCTATGGGGATAGGTTTCCTCCTCTTTAAACTTCCCAGGGGTATTGTGAACTTTAAATACAGTACTGATAAAGCATGAAACCTAGCATCCGGTGTGTAATAGACAAATAAACCAAAACCCATTGCCATCTCCCTGCCGTATCCCCAGAGTAGCTTTTCATTCCCAGCAGGGACAAGTGGGTGAAGGCCATGAAGAGGCATCTGAAAGGGAACTCTGAACTGAGTGGTAAAGAATTTAAGAATTTTAGGCCAAGCGAGGTGACTCACACCTGTAATCCCAGCACTTTTGGAGGCTGAGGCAAACAGATCACCTGAGGTCAGGAGTTTGAGACCAGCCTGGCCAACACGGCGAAAACCTGCCTCTACCAAAATTACAAAAATTGGCCAGGTATGGTGGCGCATGCCTCTGGTCCCAGCTACTTGGGAGGCTGAGGCAGAAGACTCGCTCAAACCCAGGAGGCAGAGGTCGCAGTGAGCCAAGATCACACTACTGCATTCCAGCCTGGGTGACAGAACAAGACACCTTCTCCAAAAAAAAAAAAGAAAAAGAAAAAAAACACATTAAGAATAGACACTTAGAATATTTAACCATCAACTGCTGTCCCTGAAGTCTATCCTCACACTTCTGCACCAACAGACTTGTTTTACTGGTCTGCATGTGAGTGCTCCATGCACTTCTGTGTACCATTTATTCATTTAGACTGCACGTGCTCTGAGGGAGTGGCCCCTCCTTCTGGCTGGTCTTGCAGCCCTGTGACTGTGCACTTACAGTTCCCGGTTCTCTACAGAGAGCAGTCCGTTAAGGATCACTGATTTGGTCAGAAGCAGGTCCTTGAGATTTATCTCTCTAAAGGGATTTCTCTAACGTAATGCTATGTGTAAAGGGATTTCTCTAACGTAATGCCAGGCACATCGGGGCCCAGACACTTAGTGCACCTCAAGAGGCCGGTCAGCACTGGTCAGAAGGCCCCCAGCAAAACCTGAAATCTTGACAGTTCTAAAGCCTGTCTGCACATGTGCCTTTACTTCTTTTTTGACTCCCACTGAACCTACGAGCCTGTAATTGACTTCTTTCCCTTCAGAGAGATTCCTCACTTCCGAGAAGCCTGCTTAGCCGCATTGGAAAGTCACCGAAGATAACTAGATTTGACTCAACAAATGTGCGCTTATCTTGGACACATCTGCCTGGATAGCCTCCCTCTGGTCTCTCCGCGGACTAAGAGCAAGAAGAATAAGCGTTCTGCCTCAGTTAACTCTCTGTGCCATTTAGCACATTTTTGTATTTTCAATAAATATGCCTTAAGCACTATTCATCTTGTGGTGTTCATTTACCAACATAAGTGCCCTGAGGATCTGTGGGTTGAGCTAAGAGCTGACTGGGATTCACAGTAAGAATAGTTCATGCTTACTTTGGGTGATACAACACAAGCAACAAATAAGAGCACATGCCAATCAAAACATTTTAGGGTTTAGTCTGCTGTGTGAGGCACCGTGCTAAGTAATTTACATGCATCGTCTCATATAATCCTCATAGCAACCCCTTGGTATCCCCATTCTACACATGATGAAAAAGAGACACAGAGGAATTTAGCAAAATACCATGGAACACACACTTGGGGATTCTACGGATAGGATTTAAATTCAAGTCCAACTCCTTAGTGTGACAGTGGGTGCAGTAACATACCTTCTCCAGCCAGAGTTTTCTCCTTCATAGCGGGACAATATCCAAAGCCCCTGGTGCTGCCACACTTTCCACCTTCATGAATCACGGAACTCCTCTTTTATATCCTCTCTACCTCAGTAACCCAGGGATTCAGGATAGTCTAGAATTTCAAATCCCGAGTTGGGCAATCCGAATTCCCATGTAGCCTCTATCCTGACCTTGGGCAGCAAGTCATTCAATCTTTCAGTTTCATCGTTTGTCAAAAGAAAATGGCAACACTGGCCCAATCTATTTTCATAGGTAATGTTGAAGATAAGATCAAAGGAAATATGTCAAAGTCTCCTGAAAAGCTTCAAATACTTCTCAAATTTTTACAGTAATGGATTCAGTTTGAGAACTTACCGCACGGAACGTCTTTGTCCAAAACCTTCAAATGAATGGGGAAACTGAGTTCAAGATACAAAAATGGAACCCAGATTATTTCTATTCTTGTGTAAGTAGAGGCTTGGACTGGAGCTCCAGGTATCTGTATGCTTGCTCCTGCCTAGGCACTGCTTTGGGCAAATCACCGCACTTCACTACAAAACATGGATGTGATACCTGCCTTCTCCGGAGTACTATGGGTAGAGTGTGGGCAGGAGACAAAAACATCCAGAAAGCTTGAGACGAGAAAAACTCTAGAAAGTCAATTATATGCATTTTTTTAATGTGGTGTCAGATTTTTTTCTCCCACTCATTTTCCCTTGTCTCAATCTAAATGCTATCCAGATGTGAACATGAAGAGGCCTGTCTTTGTTCATTCTCTGCTTCTTTGCATGCCCTTTGGTTTTCTTTTGTGCCTTAAAAGGTTTTGGTGCTATGCTTCAAGACACAGGTCATGAAGGGGAAACAGTTGGGGTGTTGTGGGGAGAGTGCAGTATTAGGAACGAAGACTCAGGGTAAAGAATTACAGCATGCCTCAGAATGTGCACCTCCTCTTTGCCAACGCAGAGACAAGGTGATGAAACGATCCCTGGCTCCAGACAAATGCCCTCAGCCTTGCAAAGCCTTCCAAGAGGCAGCGTCCCAGAGCCCAGACTGCAAGTGACTTGCGCATGCACACACGCACACACACACACGTTCACACACACACTCCCATGGAAAACTGTGCTCTCGCATCCCAGAAAAGGTTTGTTGTTTCAATTAAACCTCATCAATGCCACATGTCAGAGAAGAAAGAAAAAACAAAACAAGACTAAATTACTTCAGCTATCTCCTTAGGGATTGATCTGTATCGAATAAACCACCGTCTACACATGGGGAGAAGCTTTTACTTATGAAAAACAGAGGCAGGTGCAGAAGAGCAGCATTTGGTACTAAATCAAAGCTCTGGGAGCAGAAGGAAGTGGATTTAGATGCATCCACTTAGCTCCTCCTGATATCTAACTCTCAGGGTGGGGAACAGATCACAGCCTTGGCTGGGTCTGGCCTCTGCTTCCTGGTCCCCCCTGAGGTCCCACCCCACTCTGCTCACTGCTTCAGCTGCCCGGTAAGAACAGATGGACAGAAGTTAAAAGAACAAGGTCAGCTCATCGGCTAAGTCTCATTTCACACCCTGCCCCACCTCTATCATCCCTTTCTGGGACATAAAGATGAAGAAAGCAGGGCAGGGGTGCTGCTGCATTTGATTCCGGCTGAAACTATGGTCGTTTCATTTACATCCCCTGAATAGCTGGCGAGTCTGATTTACACATTGATAATATGTGATGCTTTGTATTCCAGCAAATATTTAATCCCTGACTGATCAATAATCCTCGCCTGGCTGTTCTTTTTTGAAAAGAAATAAATCCCCTTTTACTCTTAAAATTCTTGAATAAAATTAAACTGCTTTAGCCTAGGATGCACTGCTCCTACATGAAACCATGTGGTTTCATAACCTCAGTCCTCAGATGGTTTTAAAGGGGTCGCCTTTGCTTACTTGATATTTTCTGAGATCCTAACATCTCTCTAATGAGTCCTCTGTGTTATCAGTTGATATCATAAGACAACCCTTTAAGGTCTGGTATACTTTTTTTAAATTAAAAAGTAAAATTATTAACCTAAACTGAATCAGTGCGTACATAGCATGCAGTATTTTTTTGCATTCTTTTGCTTATATTCACCATGGCGGTCTTGATTTAAATTCTTCATTACAAACCTTTCTATAAACCATTTCCCTCCAAGACTACATTTTTAAGAAAACTCTATTCCGACACAGATTCTTAAAAAGCTGTACTCCTGTCTTAAAGTTGAATATTTCGAAAAATGCACATTAAACATGGAAAGAGATGGCTCTCCTCTCTATAAGGGGCTCCCGAGGCAGCCTCAGAGCTCACCAAAAGTTCCAAAACAACATCCACAACAAAACAAACTCTCTTTCATCTCTGGCAGCAACAAAAGCAATAACTTTCACCAAACCTACCCAAGCCAAGAATTAATATAACACAGAACACATCCACGTTCAGACCAGTGCGGCTACATCAGCTCACCACAATATTTGTTTAAAAAACACATCATTTGTGGTAGAGAGAAAGAATCTTTCATACAAAAAGAGGTTCTTTCAAATGCAAATTAACCAAAAGACATATTTTCCCTGTGTTTGGGAAATCACTCCAACACATGAAAAACATAGTTTTTGTGTGGAAAAAAAAAAATCAGTGTACACCCACCAGTTGAAAAGGCAATTACATTAGCTGTAGATTACCTTAACAGTCAAGAAAAGTTAACTCCTAGCTCCGAAAGTCTTTAAGAACTTTATTAGCATTTACTGACCTAAGTAGTCTTCAGTTCCCAGGTAGCAAAGTTTCTTTTCTTCTCCACTGAAATGCTCATATGGACACTGAAGGGCATTATATTACTGAACTGATGAGAAATGAATATTGTTTCCATTCTTCTGGAGGAAAAAAAATGTAAAGAAAGAAGGAAGGAAGGGAAGAAAGAAGAAAGAAGAAAAAGAAAGAAGGAAAGAGAGAAAAGGAAAGGAAGAAAAGAAAGAAAAAGGAAAGAAAGAAAGAAAGAAAGAAAGAAAGAAAGAAAGAAAGAAAGAAAGAAAGAAAGAAAGAAAGAAAGAGAGAGAGAGAGAGAGAGAGAGAGAGAAAGAAAGAAAGGGAAAAAAGAAAAGCAAGGCAAAATACAGTCTACTCGAGTATTCTTCCTGGTGGGGAAAAAAAAGTAAATCCACTATTCTGGAACGAGTTCAAACATAGCTTGACAGGCTCCAGGAGAATTTACACTGAGCATGCTTAGCCCCGCACTGCTTGCATGAGACACTCTTAATGAATATTACTTCCTTCCCACTGGCTATTCCTGCTGGAAGTCCACACCCACCCCTCTTTCAGAAGTCAGGAATTTAGCTTCAGCCAAAGTCCAGAAAACATGCTTATGCGGAGACAAGGCCTCACCGATCCATAAACTTTCAGGTTGTGACCTGCAGGTCAGTTTGACAAATAGAACATAGGGGTGAATTTTTTTTCTGCCCTTGGTTATGTTCCCAGCTTTATGCCTGTCCTAAACTGCAGTTCCTCTGGAGAAAAGAAAAACAGAGAGCTTTCTTTCTAAAGAACATGACATCCTAAACACCACAGTAAAGACCTTTCCTGATCAAGCTTCCAAACCGAAATCAGAATAAGGGTTATCTGCATATTAAAACACAACATTCGATGATTTTTAGCTTCTGGATAAAATAAAAGTCCTACCCCAAATGTATGCTTTTTGATAACTTACATAACACCTCTCTCAAAAACGCTGCATGCCAAAGCACACTCTGAAAATATGTTCAAAATCCAGCTTTAACCTCCTATGCTGTCTAAACATTGGACTCGTATACATTTAGGTCACACTAAAAACTGACTTTCTTTTTCAAACAATGCTTTATCTTTCCCTAAATCTCTCTGTCATGTTTAATGACAGGAGACCTGAAATTCTGGAAATTTAAAAATTGATTACTTTTCTGACAGCCTGAGAAGGCAAGATTCTTGGTCTGCCAAAAAATCGGGGGGGAGCGGGCAAGGGGAGAATTAGCAGGTTTAGCAGGTGAGGGCCTGATATAGACAGCATAGTAAAGGAAGGGCATTTTATATTTTAAAATTAATAATAAAGTATCTTTTTTGTTGTCCATTTGATATTTCTAGGGTGCCATTTATATGTATCAAATTACAAATTATAAATATTGTTAAATACTCATTTGAACTGTAATGCTTATTTCCCTAGACACACACACACACACGTGCACACACAAACACACACCCCAATTTGTGGTTTGAAAAAAATGATGTCACAAAACATCAAAAGGCAATAGAAATTTTCTAAGTCTCCAAGAAATATGGTGTGCCCAGCTTCTAATACAAAGCCTGCCTGGCTAGCATTGATTCTTTGGATTAATAAAGGATGCATCCATGAGCCTGATACGTAAATGCGTTGCCTCTCCATGCCTGTAACACTTCACGCAGCCCACTGCTGAGCTGCCATGATATGGTTTCCCTATGGAAGGTCTTTGTAGCATAAAATACGTCTTTGCCCACTATTCAATAAATAAAATCTCTGCAGACGTATTTTCCTCCTGGTAACCATGAGTTTTTTCGAGACTTTAGGCATGGTGGTTGTTTTGTTTGCTTTTATGCTTTGCCTAAGGGAAGAATAAAATGTAGCCCCCTGCCCCAAGTGTGTTTACTTATATTACAAGAGCAAACTAAGTTTTCAGCAGTTAGACGAAGCCCAAGAGAAATCAGGCTTTGAAAGGCTAAGTAACCCTCATGACCACACATAAGGTAAGTGTAAAATAGGAAGGACATTTATTCATTTGACTCAAAGAGATTGCCTAGAGACAAGGTCCCCCAACACAGAGAACAGGGACGCTTCCCTGTAGACAGCTTACCTCCCTGCCATTGGAGTGCGCTGTTTCTCAGGCAGGTCTCATGGCACAGAGGACAGGGACCCTTCCCTGTAGACAGCTTGCCTCCCTGCTACCCGGGTGCAGTTTCTTTTGTCTCCTTCCGTGAGGATGACTGTCTCCCCTGCAGCTAAGGGGAGACACAGAAGCCTGTGCAGGAAACACAGGAGCTTGAGTAGAACCATGCTGTTTCCAGCTTGAATGTTAAAACCACTCTGCAAAGCTGAGACAGTCTTTACAGTGCCATCACATTCATTAATTCAATTAGCAAATATTCATCGAGCCCCTACACTGACGCTCATTTGGGCGCTGGAAATTGTGACATGACTAAGACAACGTTCCTGCACTCAGGGAGTTTACATTCTGGCAATTAGATGTTTAATGGAAAACATTTTAAAAATTCAAGATGTAGGCCGGGTGCGGTGGCTCACGCCTGTAATCCCAGCACTTTGGGAGGCCGAGGCAGGTGGATCACCTGAGGTCGGGAGTTTGCGACCAGCCTGACCAACATAGAGAAACACCGTCTCTACCAAAAATACAAAACTAGGTGGTGCATGCCTGTAATCCCAGCTACTCGGGAGGCTGAGACAGAAGAATCACTTGAACCCGTGAGACAGAGGTTGCAGTGAGCTGAGATTATGCCATTGCACTCCAGCCTGGGCAGCAAGAGCAAAACTCTGTTTCAAAATAAAAAAAAAAATTCAAGATGTAAATAAGTAAACAGTGTATAGATTTACAAATTGTGGTAAGTCTAAGAAAGAACTAAAAGGGAAATGATGAGAAAGAAACAAACCATGTGTGTTGGGGGCTGAGGGACAGAGCATCAGGAAAATGGAATAAATATTTCGGAAAATCATTAGTAACCAATCCAATATAAGTTAAAATGAAAAAAATATGTGGTGTGGCTGGATTAAAGCCTTGAATGCAACACTAATGCATTTGGATTTCATATGGTATATAATGGGAAGCTATTGAGGGCTTCTGAGGAGAATTATTATTACTATTTTGACTATGACTATTTTTTGTAGCAGTTTGTAGGAACACTGGGGATGAGCATGAAAAGACAAAGCTTTTAGAAGAGCCAAGATTGGCAGAGGTGGGGAGAACACCTAATCTAGGACAATGCAAACAGTGATGGAGGGGAGAAGACAGCAATGAGAGGTATTACTATTATTTTTCAATTTATTTATTTATTTTTTGAGACGGAGTCTCACTCTGTCGCCCAGGCTGGAGTACAATGGTGCCATCTCGGCTCACTGCAACCTCTGCCTCCCAGGTTCAAGCAATTCTCCTGCCTCAGCCTCCAAGTAGCTGGGATTACAGGCGCCCACTACCACGCTCAGCTAATTTTTGTCTTTTTTTGTAAAGACAGGGTCCCACCATGTTGGCCAGGCTGGTCTTAAACTCCTAACCTCAGCTGATGCACTGGCCTCAGCCTTCCAAAGTGCTGCGATTACAGGCATGAGTCACCGCGCCAGGCCGAGAGGTATTATTGAGGCAGAAAGACAGTTTTTGACAACTAACTGGATATGCAGATGAGGATGAGAAGGCATTTAAGGGGAATGCTAAGATTTTTGGTCTCAGTAACTTTCAGTAGATCAGGGGCTCAGACATCTCTTCACTTACTTCATGCCTGAACCCATGCAGCTGAAGGTAGCTGAACAAAAATTTACAAGCATGTCAACTGTTCTCACAATACACTCTTGCTCACTAAACCTCGCATGGGTTCTTAAGCAGATGGTGAGAATGGGGAATGATGGTGTCTTAAGCAGAAATGGAGAATCTAGGGAAAGCAATGTCTGGCACATGGTGAGCCCAAATATTTACTGGATGTATGGTATATGGAATTTGAGGGCTAGGGGGATTTTCATCCTACACTATTATTTTAGTTGGGAATTTTATTTAGCTGTTAATAGGAACCTGATAATAGTCAAACACCTAAGGGTACATTTTTCTCTCATTTAAAAAAAAAAAAAATCAGAGATTGAAGGTTCAAAACATGACTACCAGGGACCCAAATCCTTCTATCTTTTTGGTTTCCCATTCTTAATGCAAGGTGTCCCTCTTCAGTTTTGCCTTATGGTCCATTGTGGACTATGCCTAATTTTGAGTAAATGGACAAATGTAGAAGTCAAGTCTAGAAAATGGTTGGGTAGCCAGGAGACCAGGGGCTCAGACACCTCTTATATAAGAATCTGGGTCATACCACCAGGTCAGCTACCAAGGCAAGCAGAGGTGCTAGCCAAGAAAGAGGAGAATCTAGAATGGTTAATACATTGAGGTAGCACAAATGAGGAGTATCAGTGGCACTCTCTAGAGCAGTCATGGAGGCAGGATTAGTCCCACTAACCTTCCTCATGTAAGGCTTTCTAGGTAAGGAAACTTATCAGAATGCAGGAGGAGGTCTTCTTAGAAGGGGTAAGCTTAGTATACAAGCAAGCAGTGCAAATGGCGAACTGTAGCAGATTCTGTAGCATGCCATCTATTACCTTCCCTTCAGGACTAAGAAACTCACTACTGCGCCTACTAGTAGTGTTAATTTCTGTCATCTCACAGCCAAGTCCCTCTTGAGGAATTACCCTCACTTCTTGGGAGCCTCCGTGCCCACAGGAATCCCATGTCTAAATGTCTACAAAGGGGCAAAAATGCCAAGCCTCCTTGCTCCAATTTTGGACAAATCAGAGGGTTGCTCCAGCTCCACAGCTCCCTGTAGGATTGCCTGAGACCTGTTACAACTGCACTTCTGTCTAACCCCTCCTCTGCTCATTCCTCCTGCCCTCCATCCCTTATAGATGTTGCTTCTGAAAACACCCCTCAGTAAACTCCTACATACAAATCTCGATCTCACAGTATGTTGTCTGGAAACCCAATATAATCCAGCAAAATAAAAACCGTGGCTAAATTCAACCCTTCACTTACTCCATGCCTGAACTCATGCAGCTGAAGATAGCTGGAGAAAAGCATACAAGCATGTCAACTCTTTTCACATTATACTCATGCTCACTAAACTTCACAAGGGTTCACCCCAGAAACCATCTTTTTCTTCCCTAATCCATTTTTACTTTCACTCTCCAGAACAAGTATTTCAAAGTTTCTCCTCTAATTTCCCACTCTTTCCTCACCCCCATTCTCAGTAGTCAATCTTGCTTTCTACTATGATGAGAAAAATGAAGCAATTAAAAGAGAATTTTCAAAAATCTCAACGTGAAATCTACACACCTGCCAGAATCAGAGTGAATATACTTCACCTCCCCTTATATTACTATGGATGAGCTGTCCAACCTCCCGCAGAGCAAATCCCTCCACCTATGCACTATATCTCCATTTTCTCTTTCCTACTTGAAAATATTGC